TTATTTATTTATTTCCATTGGAATCTGCAACTTTTTAAAGAACGTTGCCGATACATCACATAAATTTTTCACTTTCCAAAAACCAGGTTTTCAAAGGTTTTTTTTTAAAGAACGTTGCTGATACATCACATAAATTTTTCACCTTCCAAAACCCAGGTTTTCAAAGGTTTTTTTGTTTTGTTTATGGCATTACAGAAATGCGGTATGTCCACACTATTGTATTCCTAATCCCCATGTATGAGTGTAAGGGCTGGACAGTTAAGAAAGCTAGCAGGAAAAAATGGATTCGTTCGAAACGTGGTGCTGGAGGAGAGCTTTGCAGGTACCCTGGACTGCCGGAAAGATGAACCAGGGGGTCCTCGATCAAATCAAGCCTGAACAGTCTCTGGAGGCCAAAATGCTGAGACAGAGGATGTCCTACTTTGGGCACATCCTGAGAAGGCAGAGTTCTCTGGGAAAAGACCATAATGCGATGAGAAGGCAGGATTCTCTGGAAAAAGACCGTAATGCGGAGAAAGAAAGTGGAAGGCAGCAGGAAAAGAGGAAGACCTAATGTGAGATGGACTGATTCCCTAAAGAAGCCACAGAATCGAGTTTGCAAGAGCTGAGCAGCGCTGTTGAGGACGGGACATTTTCGAAAGCGCTCCTTTCTAGGGACTCCATGAGTCGGGGGCAACAGGACGGCACAGAAGAACAACAATTACAGTGAATATAATATCATGGGGGATTTGGGGTTTTTTTATGTATAATTTTAATTTGTAAACTACTCACAACAGTGTGTTCCCTAAAGGGATGGCATATAAATCAAAGAAAGAAAGAAAGGAAGAAAGGAAGGAAGGAAGGAAGGAAGGAAGGAAGGAAGGAAGGAAGCGGCCACAAATAGGGGGAAGACACACCATGATGGTTTTGAAGATGAACAGAGAGCTGGAGTGTTCCTCGTGATATTCGTGGGACGCTACTTTAAAATCTTTGTTCAGGAGGATCTCAGCCCCTTTTGTTGCCCGGGGAGAACAAGGAGGATCAAGGGAGAAGTAAAATTCAAAACGTTTGCTGATTTTCATCCTCTAATGAAAAAAATATGCTGATTGTTACAGCTGATCATTCAAGATAAAAAAAGTGGAAAACAAAGTACTGTACAGGAGAAAAAAATCAGCTCTTGGCTGATTTTCTTTCAAAAACAAACCACTTTAAGGACTCATTGGGAAGGCGCGTGTCATCTTCAGCCAGAATCCTGTTCCATTTTCATCCCGGTGCGACACAGTTGGTGTGGATCTCACCGACGAACTGCTGCAAGTTCAGAAGTCAGGGTAGGCCAATGGGATTGTGCCTGTTGCTCGGCGTGCAATGGCAAATTGGTACGCTGACTTCTCGACATTGGAGCAGCATGGATGGAGGCTGGCTGGGTGAACTCAGAGGATTCTGGCCGTTGTTTTTAGCTGCGGCGCATGAATTCAGAATAACTGGAATGACCTCCAACCTCCAGTGGGCAAAGAATGGGAAACAGACGTGCAAAAAAGTCTGTTTTCAGAACTCTCTTGCAGGCCAGGTTTGGATTGTGCCAAACGCCTGCACAGAGTTTTATGGCTGTTTCTGCTGCTGCTGCTGCTTTCGGTTTGAAGCTCTCTCCTCTTTTCTTTTTACTCCTTCCTTTGTTTCTCTAACCAGAAAAAAAAAATCAGTTAGGGAGGAAAAGGTGGGATGGAGTCCAGAGCTGCCTTGGGGTCCTGTGTCAAGAGGAAAGGCGGGAGGAAATTATTTTAAAGAAAAATTCGATTCAAAAATGCCTTTACATGTTTTCCCTCCAGACTTCCTATTTTAGGTGTTGTTTTGTGGTCATCTGGCTTTGTCTTCGATACCGACGAAGCACCAGCCATTCACACAGGGCGTTTAGAAGGAGGAGATGTAGTGATGGGGCCAACCGGTGGGATTTGCACACGGGACATCCTTTCGGCACTAGTCACCTCTCTCTTCCTGCCTCCTCTTGCAGGTCATCTCGAAGGCCAACGAAATCCTTGCGGGCATCAGCCACCCATCTGTGTGCAGGGAGGTGCTGCTCTCCACCCCTGGAACTGCTTATATCTCAGGTATGGCCTAGACACCTTCTAACATGTGCTGGACTACAACCCTCTGGAGGTGTGGGACTACAGGTCCCATCATCCAGCTGAGATTGTAAGGGTTGTCGTCTAGCACATGTTAGAAGGTGTCATTTTAGGAATGACTGCCTGAGACTCTGTGGGATGCGATTCCCATTGGCATCTCTTCTTGCCGGCAGGGCTGACAGAGGTCTACCGGGTCGCTAAGCGTTTAGAAGATGGGATGAAAGCTCGGAGACTGGCTGGCGATCAGCTGCAACAGGCTTTGCACGACGTGGATTTGGCCTGGAATAATCTCCTCTCCTTCCTCGTATTCGGTCACTCCCAGTTCCAGATGCTGGTAAGGAGAATTGAAGGCAGCGACAGGGCAGGAGAAGATCAACCATGTTCTTACAGAAAGGGCTTCCCTTCTTCCATATAAGAGAAACAGAGAGGGTCTGCGTATACTGGAGAAGCAGGCCACTTTTTTTTCCTTTGGTGGCGCAGACTGTTGTGGCTCTGGAGAGCAGGGGAGAGGACTGGAATGTAGAAAACAGGGAGTCAAAAGATCTGACTACTTGAGCCTTTGCCCTGTGGTTTGGTCTATTGCAGAGTTCTGAATTTCTGGTTATATTCCTCTAGCTGTGTAGCAGAATTGCAGGGAATTTAAAGAGCAAAATAGCTTCACGTTCCCCAGAATAGTCCACCCTTTTCTTCACTAACTGGCCCTTTCTGTCTCAATAACTCATTCTGAGACATTAATAGGGGAAAGAATAAAAAGAGTTCATTACTTGCGATTGAACAGATTAAACAGCAAAGCGGACAAACATGACTGCTTTCAGCAACAGACTTGAGAGAAAAAGAGGAGGGACTCCCTTTGACTTCAGAGGTAGGAGGGAATGATTGGTTAGGGCTGGATAGATTGACAGTTCACCCCAGCCCAGAAAAGTCCCTTCCAGCCATACCTCCTAGAGAGGCAGCATGTGAAGTTGTAAAAACTCCACCATAGTCTATTCTCGGCCGGGGCTTATTTTGTTCCTTTTGCTGGTGACCAGACAACTGACTGCCGGCATGAACCAGCCCATCCCCAGAGTGTTCTTACCTGCACTTTTCTGCTTCCCTGCCAGGGGCTACTCTCTTTTTTTAGCTGCATGCAAGATTGCACCTTTTTGGTTCAATTCCAGTGTCGGGATGAAACCAAAGCGCCCTGCTCTCTCTTTGGAGAAGCCCCTTAATTGGATACTTCCATTGGGCTCTCCTTTGAAGAGCAGGGGAAGGGGAGACCTTTTGCATTTCTTTTTAATAGTTTGTAACATACCAGGGATGCTTCAAAAGGATTTTTGCTAAGTCCCATCAAAGAATCTCTGATTCACTGTATCGATTTGTTGTTACATGCCATCACGTTGCCTCCGACCCTATGGATGAGCCTTGCTAAGTCCCATCAAAGAATCTCTGATTTACTGTATCAATTTGTTGTTATATGCCATCACGTTGCCTCTGACCCTATGGATGAGCCGTCTTTCAACAGTCTGGCTCAGCTTTTGCAAGCACAAGCCTATGGCTTCCTTTATGGAGTCAGTCCACCTCACATTGGTTCTTCCTCTTTTCCTACTGCCTTCCCTCTTTTCCTGCTGCCTTCTCTCTTTCCCAGCGTTATTGTATTTTTCCAGAGAATCCTGCCCTCTCAGGATGTGGCCAAAGCAGGACACTATGTCTCAGTTAGCAACCATTAAAAAGAAAGGCATTGAGTTCTCTCCTTCCTCTCCAAAGGTGAGTGGCAAGGAAGATTTAAAGGGAAGGTTTCCCATTTCTTAAGACCGTTAAAGCTGGCTAAGGAAACTGTCTGCCTCCCCTGTCCGGCAATGGTAGCTCTTCAGGGATGTTGGAAAGGAGCCCTTGAAGTTAGAGATGCTTTTCTTCATGCAAAGCATGAGTTGAGTTATGGAGTTTCTTGAACTGCCTGCTGGTCCTTTTTTTTTTATCACAAGGGGAAGAGAAAACCCTGATCCATGTTTGTGTTTTATCTCTCCGATTCTGCCAAAGAACTTTCAGCTTTTGGAAGCGACTGTGGGAAGGGATCCTTGTCTGTCGGCTCCGCCCCGAGAACCCACCATACAGGTCTGTGGAGTTTGCCTAACCGAGATGAAGCCGGAGCCCCAGGTGACTTTTCCTCGTTCTTTCAGGGAAATGTTTTAAAATCAAATTCTGTACAATTCCATCACAATAACACTCATGCAATTGAAACAGTAAATGCACACAAAATGTTTTTTTTTCTGCCACGGTTGCCCAAACTTTTGAAAACGAGTGATAAACTGGTGGTTGGGTGGCTGTTTATCTCCAAGATAACAATACATATACCAGAAGGGTATCTCAGAGATGGGAGAGCTATCACTTAATACAGTAGTACCCCCTATCCATGAGATTAGTATCCACTGATTCACGTATACACTGACTGATAACACTAAATAAAAAGCTCCAGAAATACGGTACCTATTTAAATGCATTTCCAGGATGCCTTTACAAGAACTAACCATTAGAGTGAGCCAGAGACCATGCAACGTATAACGTTCAATACTAACTCATTTTTTTTTCAGCATCCACGGGGGGTTGGAACCCATTTCCTGCAAATACTGCAGTCTTACTGTATGGATTCTCCTTGCTCACAGCTTGCCCAAACTCTGACCCGCAGAGGAGAGCACTGGGAGGAAGGTTTGGACAGGCTGCTATTACAGCCCCCGTCCCCAGGCAATGAGACGTTCCAGGAGGGTCATCTGCTAGCTTTTACAGAAGAGCGTCAGAGAACTGGTTGCATTTTTGATCTCTGAGAAACTGTCCTGGTGTGGAAACTGATGGGGAAAAGCCCTTCTTAATCATGGCTCTGTTTTTTTTTTTTTTAAAAAAAAAAAACAAAAAAAAAAATCTTCCCCACCTTTTA